CTGATCTGGCATCAATGCTGATTTAAAGGTTGTGGTATTTCTTTGTCTTTCTTCATATCAGAAAAAGAGCTGTGTTTTTGCCTGCTTTTGAAATCGAACCCAGGACTTCTGATACAACAGACAGTCCTATTATAAATGTTAGGTTTTGTAGCAACTTGCATTAGTACAAAAATAGCCACTCTTCTACACATGCTCACTTCTACACGGCACCTGATCACATGCACCTCTGATGTTTTGGAGATCCGTGTTTGCCCAGTCCTAATTTGTTATGTTTAATGGACTTTTGAGTCGAATAATGTTCGTTATCTCCACATATTTCATTCAATGGACGCGGCCTAACACTAACAGCATGTAAAAAAACAGTAGCAAATTCTCACAATCAATACACCAGAATAAAGATTACTTTAAATAAATTCTGTACAGTCTTAAGTGCAAATCTTTTCCTATTCCCAAAAGGATTATTCCAATTTTCCTAAGAATTGAAGAATAGGGCACAATAATGGAAAATCATTAGTTGGCTCGAAAATACAGTATATACAGATACAGATAAAAGTTTTCATTAGATTGCCGTATGAAATAAGGAGATAACGTTTTTCTTAACTTCTTATTATTTTTTTTCTAATTTTGTGCTAACTCAAAAGACCAGATCTGAACCACTAAAAAATCAGAAATAAAATTTTTAGATGGAGCAGAGTATTTTTAGAGGGTCACTTTGTCCGGCAATGTTCTCAAAAACCGTTGAAGATCAGGTGCCATGGAGAAGTAAGTATCCCTTGTCAGCTGGTCACACCAGACGTGTGCCCTTTATAATCCTGCAACCGAAAAAAACACGTAATGGATACAGTTTGTTAATTAGAATGAAAAATGTCAGTCAGCACTCGACGTAATGATAGACTATAATTGCTGACAATGTCATTGTATCGACCATTGCAGAATGATAGCTTTAAACGAGTCTGTTGGTAGATATAGTAATTGCATAAACTCTTTTGTCTGCAGCTTTTTTTTTCTTCTACTTCCTAAACCGCATTATTTTCGAATTCGCTCAAATTTTCAGAGGTTATAGACGTTTATAAACTCTATCAGAATGCAAACTAAAATTTCAAAAAGTCAGGAATTTTTTGCAGGGCTCAGAAACGGCTAAAGCTGGACGTTTTGATTTTAGTAATGAAAGTCAAAGATATGGCTTTGATAATGCACATGATTGCGTACACCTTGTGACAAGGCCTTTCTTTAGATATCAACATATTTGACCCTTTGACCTTGGAGTGTGACCCACTTTTGCAAAACTTTATCAAATTTAACCTTGGAAACATAAAAAAAAATGGCTTATTTTTGTATTAATTACCATAACTTTAGAGGATTCAAAGCATTTTTGGGCGTTACTCATTTTTGTTAAAAATGAAAGCTTTCTTGCTTCAACAGCTTTGCTCTAGTTCTTTTTTTTCTTCTGCTTCCTAGACCGCAACTGTACATGATTTCGCTATTTTCAGAGATTATAAACTTTATAAACTCTATCAGAATGCTGACTAAAATTTCAAAAAGTTATTATTACATATTTTGTTAACTTTACCTCATAGTTTGACCCATTTTTCAAAACTTAAACCTTGGCAATAATTTTTGAAATCTTTGTACAAGGAATTTCATATTTCACAGGTGTACTTCTTGACAAGACCTTCATTCCTTTGAATATCAGCATTTTTCACCTTTTTGACGTTGGAGTTGACCTACTATTTGCTCTAGTTATTAAAACTTGCCAACTCTGATGATATCTTTTAACATTTGGTTTCAGGGTTTTTATATTTCCTCAGATGGTTCTAGGGCTTTGATATTTCTCCTGTGTATTTGTGTGAAACCCCCCCCCCCGTGTTTCATTAATTTTGACCCTCCTACCTTGACTTTGTTTTTGACCCACACTTTAAAAACTAAAAATAATGTTCGTAACTTTTGAACGGTTAGTTCTTGGGCTTTCATATTTCACTATACACTGTATATTCCTACAGAAAAGTGTTTTTCTTTTACATTTTTATCACTTGATTTTGACCATGAAGTTTGACATGCATTGAAAAACTTTAACCTTAGCCATGAGCTGTCACAAGGCGGTATCAATGTTTCACAAACACATCATTTTATATGTAATATATTCATTGCGGTTAATGTTTTAATTAGAATAATAATTGAATGAAAAGGATTTTATTGGCAAAAGAAAAAAATGCCTATAGCTTTATAAAACAAAAAGGATTGAATAAATCTTGAATTTTATAACATCGGAATATATAAACTGAATACATATAATAATTGATTTTCCCCACTCAACACTGCGTGGATACGACTAGAAGACGTTAAATCCGAACAGACTGCCTCTGGGGATGACAGGTTGTATTGCGTTGTTTGTTAAAAATATGAAAAATTAAAGCTGATGTTCAGCATTTAATCGATAAAATCTGGACTGTTACAAAAAACAAAGGTTTTGACTAATTAGCATAGAATATCTTGCTCTTTCAACATTGTTAAAAAAAAGTTTCCCCCGATCTAATTGGTGTGAATTCGGACTATATCAGTCACGGATCCAGGATTTTGAGTCAAGGTAGGGGAGGAATTATAATTGCGAGAGCTTTTGGGACAAACCGGTGTCTCCAAAAGGTTCAAGACGGTGTCCTAGCAGGGACTAAGCCTAAACACTCGGAAGCTCCTGAAATTTAGAAAGTCGCCAAAAAGTCGAGTCGCCAGCGTGGCGCAGTGGTTAGAGCGACTGTAGAGTCGCGAAGTAAGGGATTGTTCCTTACGTCGCGAGTTCGAATCCCTTCGTGGGACGTCGAGAACGTATAAACCGAGGACCCGTGTCGCAGTAGATGCTGGCACAAAAATATCCCTCACTGCTCAATGGCCGTAAGTGCCGAGAACAGGACAATTTTACAGCTCTCCACTGGCAAGTGGTGGTGTCTCCATATGAGTGAAAAATTCTCGAGAGGGACGTTAAACAATTAACAAACAAGCAATCAATCAATCAATCAAAAAGTCGATTTCTTAGTATGTCATACCGGTATAATTCTAGAGGTTTAAAGAATGAATAATATATTGCAAAAAACTTTTCCCCCCCAAAAAAAGAAGTGATGAAAGGACTCCGGCCTTTAAATTTCTCCTTGAATGACCACTTAAGCCACTCTTAGAACTGAATCTCTGGCCTCACGTGATAACATTTGACAGTTTGTCGAGGATTTGTTATATGTAAATCTTAGGAGTCAAGAAGATAAGGAACATTGTTAATATTAAAAAATAAATAAATAAAAGACTAACTTCCAAAATCCTGGGGTCTGATCTCTTGGGATCCCTTGGGAGGCAATTTCTTTTTATTATTCTTGGTACAGGATAGTTTCTCAATATTTTCATGCAAACAATATGTCCATGAACGAGTAAAATGAAATGTAGTACTACACTGTACTAATGCGCTGGCACTGTGGCACTGTAGCACTGTAGCTCTCCGGTCTGTCAAAATATTTTTTCGGAGATCTACAATTTTGCATCTAACTTTCAATATACAGTACGACCAAATTCGCCCCATCCTCTCTCTGTAATTAAAATGAGCCAGAGGTATGAATTTAAAATATCTGTGGAGGACTTAATGTCAATTATAATCGTACAAACAACCTTTGGTGATGCAATATTCATTTTTAATATATATATGACCAAGCTTATCCTTATCCCCTCTGAAATCAGGGGCAACAACTATGGTTTAGAGGTATTTTTCACCTCTGATGTTTTGGAGGTCCGTGTTTGCCCCGCTCCTATTTTGTATATGGTCTTTTGAGCTCGAGTACTTTTCGTGATCTCCCCATTTTTCATTAACACTCATATATCATGGCAGCTGTTTGATGTACAGGGGGAGAGGAGAAGATAAAATGTTTTATAGATTGCATTAATTTTTTTACATTTTAGTTTCGGTAAAATCCTGCAATCCCCTGGGAGGAAACGACTATGCTATACATACCCCCCCCCCATAAATACAGAATCTACTTGTATTTTTCAAGGCTGAAGAAAATGAAAATGTAAAAAGTTTACGAACGACGCAAGGTAGACATTAGAAAGTCACCCGAGTAATGGAATTGTAATTACAATGTGCTAAGATGACAAAGTATTGAAAACATTGATTTTTTTGAAGACTTTCTTAAAAGCCTTCGATAATATTGATTTCCAGTTTGATTTTTTAAATTGTTTTGTCGGAATTATGCCGACGAAATACACTGTAATGTAATTAAGAAGTCACCATCTAATAAACAAATAGGTTATGAATTTAGTTTTAGATGAAACAAATCCCTATATAAGCTTCAACTGATTTTATTGATTGAAAAAGAACTCCCCGCACAAGAAATCAAGCTTGCACCCAAAGCCACGTCATTTGAATAAAAGCATTTAAAGAATCTATTTGTGATGTTAGATGGTTCCAAAATAGTAAACAATGCAGGAATGAAATCGTTTTATAAAACGTTTAACGAAAATTGGTCTTAGCGTGATAGACTTTTTCATGCACGCAAATCAGTCATGTTTCTTCATTAGAGTTTGTTACCAATACAATTACAGAGTTCACGTCCGAGACACCAATGCGTTTTAATGGTTTGTATGAGATTGGAAGCTCCGTAGATTAGACACCGGTTTATAAGAGGGAGCGACTCTGTCAATAGAAGTGTTAGACAGACAGCTGTAGTTGATGGCGAGGAATTATTTCTCTCGGTATTCGGAATTTTGTCTATAAAAGGAAATATATGTGCGTTCTCACATCTTATTCAGTGCTACTGAATTTCTCAAATATTAGCAATCATTTCCTAGGGGATGATATGGATTGTTAATTCATAAAAAAAAATTGCAAGCATACATAATAGGATTTCATATCTTCCATGAAAAAATTATATACATGTACTAGTCAATTGAAAAACCTATAAAAGAAGCATATTTGTATCATACAAAACGATTCATAAGCTTATCTGTAATATTTTTTTTCTCTCCAGGTAAAGAAAATGGTCCGACAATGACCGAGAATGACCTCAAGCCAAGCTGATCCCGACAACCAGAAAATCAAACTGGCCATCTTAGGAGCACCCGGAACCGGAAAGACCTCCATTGCCAAGCAGTTTGTTTGTAACCATTTCACGGAGGATTACGAGCCTACGGAACAAAGAGAGCTGTATTATCCGTCTATTATTATTAATGATCACCTGTACGACCTCAAAATCATCGACTGTCCCTACATTCCATACTTTCCGGTGAATTCTCTATATGAGTGGACAGACTTCCGGGGATACGGACTCAGGAACGCTACTGCGTATATTCTAGTGTATGACATTACATCAGAAGATAGTTTCCAGTATATCAAAACTTTACGTGAACAAATTTTAGAGAGCAGAAATATGCATGATGTTCCTATTTTTGTAGTAGGGAATAAACACGATTTAGCGGACGAAAGAGGGATATCGCGAAGAGAGGTGGCCAATTTAGTAAAGAAACAGTGGAAATGCGGGTACATAGAATGCTCAGCCAAATTCAACTGGCATATTATTCTTTTGTTTAAGGAACTAATGAAGACAATAGATTATCTTGATCATGGTCATAAGCCCACGGCCGTCCGGGTGCAGGCTGCGCTTAGAAGAAATAGGTGCGTAATCTTGTGAACAACGATATCAGTGCTCTATGACTGTTGCCAAAAACACTTTCATGTTAAAAACCCTCATCATATTACGGAATAAATTTCCGCATAAGCTAGATCTGGTCTTTGAAGCTGCCTATGAATAAATGAAAGAGAAATCGGTAGATACGGATTAGTAAACACTGGAATAAAAAGATGCTCACTACAATTAAATTCTACCGTTTGTTAGAAAAAAATCTTTGGTTGCGGTTATTTTGATGATCATCTGAGAAAGTGCAGGAGGTATACGTTAAATTTTCGTGATTTGTCTTTGAGGAATCACACTTTGAAGTGCTAAACGATAAATATTTACATGTTTAAGTCAGAAAATGAACTATATATATATATAAAATGGTTTGTGAATCCCGAAGCAACGCTTTCAGCGACCAAGACACTTTAATCAATCGATCTTAAATTTCACTACTGTCTAGTGTATAAAGTCATAGATAAAAGATCGTAAAGAATAATCATAGAAAATCATGGAAAATCCATGAAGTTTCATTACATTGTGAATGAAACCATTTTTTTCCCAGATTTAATGTATCATTTAAAAAAAACCTTAGAGACAAAACAAAAAATTCATTATATGAAAGAAATGCCTGTTCTGTAAATACTAGTATATATAATTATTTCTTCATCCATCAAGTCTAATTTATACGTTTGTGTAGTTTAGGAATTATCTATCACCTATAATGCGCATAACCTGTATTCTCTCTAAAGAAGTGGTCAGGCATTCTAGGCTTTCGCCCACATCCACATAAATAGCATTTATAAATGACGTGTACACTCACATACTTTAGGAATAGATATGAAACAGAACACACTCTTTGTGATGACAGTATTACAAATTCCTTGACAGACTGGATGTTAAATGGCCGGTGACATGTTATCTGGGAAACTTAGATCAGACTTAGGTGGTGACATGTTTATCTGGGAAACTTAGGTCAGGCTTAGGTGGTGACATGCTTATCTGGGCAATTTAGGCCAGGCTAGGTGGTGACGTGCTTATGTGGGAAACTCAGGTGAGGTTTAGGTGGTGACATGCTTATCTTGATTACTTAGGTCAAGTTAAGGTGGTGACATGCTTATCTGGGACACTTAGAGCAGTCTTACGTGGTGTCATGTTTATCTGGGAAACTAAAGTCAGGCTTAGGTGGTGACATACTTATCTTGGAAACTTAGTTCAGGCTAGGTGGTGACGTGCTTATGTGGGATAAATAGGGAAAGGCTTAGTTGGTGACATACTTAACTGGAAAACTTAGGTCAGGCTTAGGTGGTGACGTGCTTATGTGGGAAACTTAGGTGAGGTTTAGGTGGCGAGGTGCTTATGTGGGATACTAAGATGAGGTTAAGGTTGTGACATACTGATCTGGGATACTTAGATGAGGATAAGGTTTTGACATACTGATCTGGGATACTTAGATGAAGTTAAGGTTTTGATATACTGATCTGGGATACTTAGATGAGGTTAAGGTTTTGACATACTGATCTGGGATACTTAGATGAGGTTAAGGTTTTGACATACTGATCTGGGATACTTAGATGAGGATAAGGTTTTGACATACTGATCTGGGATACTTAGATGAGGATAAGGTTTTGACATACTGATCTGGGATACTTAGATGAGGATAAGGTTTTGACATACTGATCTGGGATACTTAGATGAGGATAAGGTTTTGACATACTGATCTGGGATACTTAGATGAAGTTAAGGTTTTGATATACTGATCTGGGATACTTAGATGAGGTTAAGGTTTTGACATACTGATCTGGGATACTTAGATGAGGTTAAGGTTTTGACATACTGATCTGGGATACTTAGATGAGGATAAGGTTTTGACATACTGATCTGGGATACTTAGATGAGGATAAGGTTTTGACATACTGATCTGGGATACTTAGATGAGGATAAGGTTTTGACATACTGATCTGGGATACTTAGATGAGGATAAGGTTTTGACATACTGATCTGGGATACTTAGATGAGGATAAGGTTTTGACATACTGATCTGGGATACTTAGATGAGGTTAAGGTGGTGACATACTGATCTGGGATACTTAGATGAGGTTAAGGTGGTGACATACTGATCTGGGATACTTAGATGAGGTTAAGGTGGTGACATACTGATCTGGGATACTTAGTTGAGGTTAAGGTTTTGATATACTGATCTGGGATACTTAGATGAGGATTAGGTTTTGACTGATCTGGGATACTTAGATGAGGTTAAGGTGGTGACATACTGATCTGGGATACTTAGGTCAAATTTAGGTCATGGTTACGTCATAAAAAAATCTGGAGTCTCTTGATTTTGAGTAAAGGCTAACCAACCAGTAGTATACAGTCCTTACTAAGCATGGTAATAGTGGTGGAAAACATTTCAGAAAGATTCCCACTAATGTGCTTTAAAAATTAATTACTTAACTGTTTTTAAGAACTGGATATTCTATACCTATATATCGACTGGACAGTCGGGGTGAGAGCGTGTCCACTTCTCTAAGGAGACTTTAGCCTGTAAGTGGGCGAGAGCGTGTCCACTTCTCTAAGATCGGAGAATTGGGAATTGTCGACCGCATCAGATCAAAATTATATGCCGGAATAAGTATACCACAAAGCGCTGCCAATACAACATAAGTCATTTATTCTTAAAGAGAAAAAGAAGACAGTTTTTGTCTCTGGTAATAGAACAGAAAATAGAAGTAAATTAATTGTCTTGGCTTCAGACTAAATCTAGCCGTATTGCTGATATGCAGAAGTATGTTTTAATAGCAAACTTCGTTGTGACCAATTTTCATCCCTAGCAGCAAGTTTTATTGAGTAAAATGTGTATGAACAATTTGGTTGAAACAGACAAATAAATATAAAACTATATTTAAAAAAGCTAATGGGGTATGTTCCTTAGCGTTTCTCGTTTCTTGCAAGATCGAAAAGTCGATACATTGTAATTAGAATTGTAGGCAAAAGATAGGAGCCTTGTATCGATGTAATGTTTGCGATAGAGCCCTCATCATGACACTACGCTCGCCAGTATCACGAAATCTCACATAATGCTGGCAAAAGGGTTAGGTACCAGACCTATTGATTGTCAGAAGGGATTAACAGAAAATAATCTATTTTAGGAATATTCTGTTTTTCTCCGAAAAATGCTGTGTCTAGGATGATAAGAGAAAATTCCATCTTCTTTCGATGACCCTTCAACCTTAATTGATGCAATCTTCTAGCACAGCCTGCACTGTAAATCGAATCCATAAAAATAGACATGATCATGTACCAAGTCCCATCATATCTTAAAAAAAATTAAAACAATCTGGAAGTGAGAGATGGAAAATGATGCATTAATGATTTTACAAATGATATGACGATTTATTTTGATACACAGGAGTTTGTACAATGTAACATATTTGATTTTATATTATCACAAAACTAAGAGTATATGCGTTACCAGTTACTGCAATTTGATATCGGTTTGCAACAGAACCTAGATTTTAAATTAAAATACATTTTGATAAAGGCTAGAAATCTTACATTCAGCAGTGAAGAGGCATTTTATTTATAACTTCTACACCATCTTTTTATACTCCTTTAATTGGAGATTCGACAGTACATATTACTAGTATTTCGCGTCCTTCCATCTGTCTCTCTGTCTGTTTGCTTATAATTTGTTTCCGCAAAAACTTTAACCTTACCTATAACTTTCAATTGTTTGGAGATATGGCTTTCATACTTCATATGCGCCTTCCTTATAAAAAGACCTTTGAGTTATGTACCTCTTTGACGACTTTATCTTGACCTTTCAATTTGACCAACTTTCGCAAAAATTTACTGAAGATTATTATTAACCTTAGCCATAGCAACCAGGACTGTCATACTTCATCTGTGTATTTAATTTGACAAGACATGCATAGATAAATATTTTAATTTTTTACCTTCTGACCTTGACCTTAGAGCTTGACCCACTTTGAAAAAAACTTTAGCCTTGACCATAACTCTTGAACATTTTTATTTTTAACATACCCTATGCATTCCATTTTAGTCATGACCTTCATTTGGATACCAATAATTTGACTTTTGACCTTGGAGTTCAATTTTCTTTTGAGAAACTGTATAATCTTTGCAATATACCATACGGGGGAATCGGGTGTTGCACAAACACATCTTGTTTTAAATTAATATATCAAACTGTTAGTAACTTGACGTAATCAGAAGAAATTTCAATACTGTCCTAATTTCGATCAACAGCTACAGAAGAAATGAAAGCAAATCAAAAGCAGATTGATAACCCTCACGTTGTTGTTAGTGATGCACATTTATTATAGCTCCTATATCTATCACGTGTTGTCGTGATCAACATTTGTGAATTTAAAATTAAGGAAGAACTGTGCAACGTAAGTACGTAACGGCATTTCTGCGGAGTAACCGTTCTGCTGTTGAAAACAGGCTGCCCCCTCAATATTTTCCTTCTATGCATATGTACTTGAACTTACAAAATAATGAGTTTGCAAAGTACATGTATATAAAACGCTTTGACGGAGAACTTGCCCCGAGACATTCCTGAGCAACAGAAAACCGATTTCCAGCTTAATCACAGAGCCTATCTAGATTTTACTATTATGCTGTTCATTTTCCATTAAAGTATACAAATGACAGGTTTTCCGCTCGGATTATCTATTATTTGCGTATATTTCCCTAGCAGCATATAGAAGTATTGCTGAGTCATGTAGAATATGCATGGACGTATTTAATGAGAGAAGTTCCAATCCTTTAATTTCCTTGGTATTAAGGAAAGGGATTAAGGGTTCTATAAAGAGCCAGTGCTTTTATTAAAAGTTGCAATATGTCATATTATTACAATTTACATAAAATTCGGGAAAATGTTAATCAAAAACAAGAAGAATCGAAGGCGAGGAAGAAATAATACACGTTAAGTAAACAGAATTTTGTCAGACATGTACTAGTCTTTCACGACTCTGGTGAATTGAAGATGCGGACAAAAATCCCTAGAAACCTTTTGCAACGGAAAGCATTGCACAGTGTTGTGCCAGAGAGATTGCCTCTAGAAGGGAATATTGTTAAGAAATTTATAACTACATGTATATAGTCTCACAGTATAACACGAGATTGTGCCGA